GCCTCGCCTCACGGCCCCGGCCCGCAGGCCTGCACCCCGCTCCCTCCCGGCGCGGCAGCCACAGCACCTCGGCCCCGGCCAGGCCCACCCCCTCGTTTAAAGCCATCTAGGCCCTGGGGGGTGTTAGACGTGCCCGTGGCACCCGCGTCGTTGCACACGTCCGTCGCGGTGGACGGCGTGTAGACGTGACATTGGGAGGCGAAGGCGTTGCGGGTGGTCCCGTCACATTGAGGACGACCTCCCCGGCGGGGATCGGTCCTCGCGGGATTGCGGAGCACGTGCTCTTTGCCCGTGGGGGAGTGGGATTCGCCACCACCGCCGGTCAGCCTCCGTGTCAAGTTCTTTTAACCGATCTGACGGTTAAAAACCCGCTGGACTCGTGTCTAGATGGGATTCGACGTTCATGAACGATGGAGGCCGGGGGCAGGTACGGCGACCGCCCGCAGGGGCGTGTTAGCGAGCGGGGATTGCCCACAGGCGACCGCGGTGACATCGGCAGTGAGGGCGGCCGAGCAGGGACCCGCGGCCAGTTTGGGGGGGCATGTGGACCGCCTATGCCAACATTTAATATTTATTTTGATGAATGCCTTATCACAGGGGTGGGCAATGTGCGGCTCTTCAGAAGTTAATATTTGAATCTTTGCACAAGCGCACGGTGACCAGCTTCCATAGCCGTTACGTCACGTCGTGCACTTGTGCAAAGATTCAAGGAGATGCTTATTAACTTCTGAAGCGCCGTGTGTGGCTCCAGAGCTGCAGGTTGGCCGCCCCTGCCCTCTCACTTACCTTCCAGGTGACTTCCAGCAGTTTCCTGGAGATTTATATTGAATTCCCAGAGACTCCTGGAGGGTCAGCAACCCTATTTGGGGTCTCTGATAAGCCTAAAGCAGGCAGGGGCAGGGGTGTAGCTAAGGAGTTTGGTGCCCTGAGCAAGACTCCCCTGTGCTCTCGCAGTGGTGGGTTAGGGGGGGAATGGAAGTGGCCTTCTCTGCCCTGGGTGTCCCTGCACCCAGCTTGGCGCCCCTCTGTTTCCAGGAGGAGTGTGTGGGATCAGATGGGGAAGACTGCAGGCTCCAGCTGTTTCCAGATCTGCCTCTGTACCCAGGCTGCAGCCTCACCCTTGTCACAGCACCCTGGGAAGGGGCTCGCAGCATGTCGCAGCACCCTGGTTGAGAACCACAGATCTGAAGTCACAGAGCACCTTCCAGCTGAAGGGGAAGCGGTGTCTATCTGTTGCTGGGAAGCTAACCTGGCTGATGCCCTGATGTACAGGAGCAAGTCATAGGTACAAGGCAACTCCTTACATGGGCCTCTGTGGGCATTAGTCCTTTGGACCATTTCTCAAGGAAGCAGCCAGAGTGGAGGATGAGTGCTGTGTCCCTTGACACAAAGGTCTTTTATAGTACATATGGTATATTTTAATATGCCGTATTTTGTGGGAGAGATCACTAACACACCGTAGTGATCTCTCTGCAAAATTCTGTAGGGGGACAAGACTCTTCGTAGTGTTTTCCTACAGTCAAGGTCCGCCAGATCCACCAGCCATAGCATGGAGGTATATCCCAGAGGTATGGCGATAGGACGCTGTTGAGAGAGAGGAAGAAGAGGCAAAGGATGCTGGATGAGACAGAGAAATCGACTCAGGCTTGAGGAAGTATGCCTTGCATTCACAAGCTACTCTGACTTCATCCCAACCATGCAGTTGATCCAATAACAGATAGTCACCCACAAAAATCCTTGCCTCTCCCAGAGAAATGGGGGTATTTGTTATTTGTTTTATTCCAAGAGGAAGATGTTAACTCTCTCACTACAAAATTCCTTTTTTTTTCAAAAGAGGGGGTGTGATGGTTTAAATTACTCTCCTAATTACAGTCCTTACAGGTCTCTCTGAAATATATCCCCACCAGCCTTATATAATGTGTTTTCCACCCTCAACTTTACACTAAAACTAAATAAAAGACTTGAGTTATTACATTTCTTCTCAATGTGGAAAGGTTTCTTTAATCCCATTTGAAGATTTCTGTTTCACTAACACAGGCCATAACAGTGAAATGCAACAGCACAGGCTTGTGTTAGAGCTTCAACACACGTGAATGGAAAGAGCAATGTACCTTGTGAAGAAGGAAGGTAAGAACAGCAGCACTGTCTTCACAGATGCATTGTTCTTATCTTTTGTCTGAAAGGTGGAAGAATCAGTGGTTTGAAAGAAAATAAATCACATATGAAGATCTGCCTCAAAAAATAACGTTCAGGATCGTATTCAAAGCCACAGCTTAGGAATTAAACAGCTGAATCTGCCATTCTATATTCTTGTCAATAGAACATTCATAAGAATTGCAGTCACATCGCTCCCTTGTAGCGGTTAAGCTTATGCAATGACTACATTCAAGTATAAGTAGGGAACACTGGGATATGAGAACATTGGACATCTTTAGCTCCTAATTTTCTTGCTCTTGTGCATTTAACAATAGCCATGTTTCTGCATCTCAATTTTTCTTGCTGTCTTTAAAGCTTATGCGTGATCCTGGAACTTCTGGTGAAACTACACTGTCATCCTATAGCATGTGGCAAAACATTTATGGAACCGAGAATACATGGAAGCAAAATTGCTGAAACAATATTTTACTCCTCTTATTTTGGAAAAAAAATATTAAAATAAATAAGTACATATAGTAAGATGCTAATCTTCTGATGTCCATAAAGTATGATGAATGCGTATCCTAACATCCAATGATTTCATAAGCAACATTAGAACTGTTAATTGTTCCCAGTGTAACAGCTAATGTTAAAGAGGACTGGTATTTTTATAATACAGCTAATACAGAGTAGGAACATTTGTGTACAGTTGAAGGGTTTAGACTCAGTCCTCTCAGTGTTTTCAGTTTTAACACAAGCTCTATCGTTTGCCTCTCTTCCAGGATTTATGAAAAAAATCAAACTCATTGGCTTCAGGCTGTGCAGCAATTGTTCAAACATTTTTGTGGTTTCATCTTAAACACAAAGCATAAGCCATGACAGAAGGAAAATGATCAACAGGAGCTAAGGTTGAATGCCGATACATTAAGGAAAAAACCTGCATCAGAATTTTGCCAAAAACTGAAACAGACGTGACTCAGACACCCATTTAGTTTTAAGAGGTTGGCAAATATCCCCATAGTTTATTGCATTTTGTTTCATGTTCTTACAAGGCATCAAGAGGAGGATGTTCAAATAATTTTAAGAACGTGTTCTAAGACTGCAAAAGCGAAGAAATTCTGAATAAACAGCAAAGCTCAATCTCTAACTCATCCTACTGTTTATCCAGAATGTGATCTGGGCAGTGTAAGGCTCAACAGAAAGCCCAAGGCACAGGACAAAGTTGGCCAAAAGCTTCACATATGATTAGCCCCAGTTTTGACTGAGTAGGTTCTTAGCACTTGTAGGGTCACAGTTTCTTATGGAGCCCTAAAAAGCAAGCATAAAAAATCATTAGGGCGAAGCAGCAAATATTTGCTTCCGCTTCGGATTCAGCCGATTCAGAGGGACAGTGATTCGATTCGATGATTCGAATCACTGTCCCGAGTCCATTTGGCCGAATCAGATCTAAAGATTTGGCACTGCTTCAGAGATTTGGCGAGAAACTAAACAGGCAGCAGTCCTCACCGTGCTGGATGTAGTTACCTCCAGCTGGTAAGTCTCTTGTGGTGGGCGGAGGGGGGAGGGAAGGAGTATGGAGGCAGGGCAGATCAATGCCCCCACAGCGAGGGAGGGATTGGGGCTGGGGCTGGGGCTGGGACAAACTGCCCAGCCAGGGTGGGGGGGCAGGGGACTTGCCACTGTACACTGCCATGCACCACTGGTCTGGGAGGGCACAGGAGTGGGTGTGTGCCCCTGGATCTGCACAGGACAGGCTGGCCCGGGCTGCGCTCTGGATGGGCAGCAGAAGGCACTGGAAGCAGGAGCTATGCCCTCCTGCCACTTGCCCAGTCTCTCCACACCCCTTGGAGAAGCTGCAGCTTTGCCCCAGCTGGGTGAGCAGGGACAGGGCATGGCGGTAGGCGCATGGACCTGGATCGGGGAGGGGCCAGCAGCAGGAGCTATGGGGAATTTTAGGATGGCTGCAGCCCCCCCATAGGCCCCACTCCACTACGCTTTGCAGGGTGGGCGGAGTCAGGACTCTGACTGGGGCTAGCTGCCCGGAGCGTAGCCCTGGCTCCACTCACCCTGCAGAGCACAACTCGGCAGTGGGCAGCTGGCGCTAGGAAAGGGATTTAATTCCCCACTCCCTGTCCCCCAGACCTAAGTCGGGGTCCACCGGGCGCTCCTTACTCACTGCTGCAGGGGCCGAGGCAG